CCAGAATTAGCTTCTAAACAGCCTACTAGTTACCATTTCCCTACTTTCAACTCTCCAAGAACCTCCATGAGACCCACTACACAGTCTACGAGATCCTCCACAATCTGGTCTCTGCTTCTCCTTCCACTACATCCCCTACCATCTCCCTAGCCCCTGCGCTTCAGCCACACTTGTGTTTTTGTCCTCTGTGATGATTAAGCTTGACTGTGTCAATTTCACTGGCTTGGGAGCTGCTTAGGGTGTGTCTGGTGGGGTACAGAGACATGACCTTGGGAACTATACATCCAGTCCCTTGCTGGAGCACTGCTCCCTGGCTCTGCTTCCAGGCTGCCATGAAGTAAGATTTACTTCACACCATTCTATCTACCATGATATTCCTGCCTTGGAATAACTAAGCAAGGACCAAATCTCCAAAAAACCGTAAGCCAAATTAAACCTCTCCTATTTTAAATTCTGGGTCTCAGGTGTTGTGCCTTAGCCACAGGAAAGTGACTAATATAGAAAATTGGTACCAGAGGACTGGGGCCATTGCTGTGATTGTACCTGACCATGTGGTTTACAAACCTTTGGGAATGGTTTGCCAGAGAAGTCCACAAAGGTTTGGAGATGCAAGATAGAGGAGCTTCAAAATACTGTAAGCAGAGCTTGATGGGTAATTCTGACTGGCACACAGAAGACCAGAATGCTGATAACTATGCAGGCAGTAAGGCCAGGTTGTGGAGGTTTCAGTAGGAACAACTGGCAATTGGACTACAGCACATGTGTTACCCTCTGGTCAAAAAAAAAAAAAAAAGTCTACATTATGCCTATATCCTGAGACTTTCTAACAGACTAAAATTGAGGGCAATGGATTACTGGCAGAGGCAACTACAATGCAGTCCAACATTCAGGCTTTGATGTGGGTTTTGCCTGCTGCTTTTAGTCATTTTATAATCAAGTGCAAAAACAAGAGGGAAAAAAATCTGAAAAACAATTTTGGCTCAGGAGGAGCCATTTGAAAAGTGAGAGAAAAAGGATGTGTGGCTGTTAAAGAGATTAGTGCCATTAAAAAGGAACCAAATACTTTGTACAAGGACAAGAAAAAAAGATGTTTGAGGGCATCTCAGGAATAAGCAAGACCCCACCGACTTGCAGGGTCAACTGTGCAAAGTGAGAACCTTTCATTTGAGAAGAGAGCCGCCAGACCTCCTCATTGAGAAAAGCTGCCTAGGGAATTGGTTCCCCAGGATTCATTTCTAGGCACCCAGGAGGCTGCTGCTGCCACGGTCCCAGGGGGCATAGCTACTGCCTGTGCTGGTGGCAGACTCTGGCTATTCCATGTGATGCTAGTTTTACCAGGATGCAGAATGCAAGAGTTGTGGGGTCAGAGAGGCCTCTCCCCAGATTTCAAAGGAAGGGCTGATAAGCCAGGCAAGAAGCCCTGAAAGGGCAGTGTATGAAGCTGTAGGGATAAAACCAAAGGTGCAGTGGAGACTCCAGGAAGTCAGAGCTTCCAGGACCATAGAACATCTGCTAAAGAAATCTATAGGCACTGAGCACAACCAGCCCAAGAGAAAAGCTGTGGAGGCTACAACCAACAAGACTATAGGAGTGGAGCTACCCAAACCCTTTGGTACTGACATTTTACCACCCTGTACCCCAGACACTGAATATGGAGCTATAGGCCTCAATGAGGACACTGAGACTTTCAGTCTTATGTTGGCCTCATTCTTGCTACTCCTCTCTTCCTCCCTTTTGGAATAGAAATGTGTACCCTGTGCCATTATATCTTGTGATTATGTAATTTATTTTCACAGTCGATCACAGCTAAGATTTTGCTTACAGTCTCAGAAGAGTTAGACTCGAAAAATGCTGAAAGTGCTATCACTTTGGGGAAGGGATTATTGTTTTCAGTTTCATACATGATAGCTGTATTATATTAAATGGAATTATGACTTTTTGTTTATTTGGAGATTAAGAATGGTTTAAGGGGACATATTTGAGTGCCCAGCTGACAAGGGGTAGGATGTGACAGTTAAGCTTGATTATGTCAATTTGATTGAATAGGATCCGCCCTGGGTTTCATGGAACACACTTCGGAGAGTGTCTGGGTAGGTCACAGAGACGTGATCTTGAGTACTACATCTGATCCCTCACCCATTCCTCCCAGCACTGTGCCCTTGCTCAGCTTCCTGGCAATCATGAAGTCAGCAGTTTTGCTCTGCCACACCCTTCTGCCATGACGTTCCTGCCTTGGAGCCAGTCAAACATCAACTGAATCTCCTCAAACTCTGAGCCAAATTGCACATCTCCTCTTTTATGTTGTGGGCATCAATATAGGAAAGCTGTCTAGTACACTCTCAGCTGTAGACATCAAGCATGCTCCTGATTCAAGCTCTCTGCATTCACGGTTCTCTAAAATGCTTTCCCTCCAGACACTCATCTTGCCAGCTTCCTCCCTTCCTTCAGGTCTCTTTCATTTTCCACCTCTGAAATCCTTTCTAAAGATGCTCTTTCTCCGATCTTTCATCTTCCTTTATTTCTTTTTCTGTCACTTACTACCTGATATTGCTATTTCCTTATCTGCTGATTGATTTATTTAGTCCATCTCCTCCCACAGTACATTAGCGCCTGTCTGCCTTAGTCATCATTCCACCTGCAGAGCCCAGGCAATGCTCAGAAGAACACAAAGAAGTAAATATTTATCGAGAGCAACAACTAAACTCTGACCTAATCACAATCATGCTCTTCCCACTACACCATACTGCTTCCCAAGAAAAGGATCCGTGCTGTCTGCAGCTTGTTCCTCCTCCCATAAAGATTAAAATTCCCCTGGCGTATACACCATCTTCTTTATACCATAGTAAACCTCAGCACCTATTAAGGCTAAGTAAATAAGAGAAAATGAATGAATGGAGAGTAACCATAAAAGAAAGTCAACTGGAAAAGAGTCAATGGTTACAGAGAGACTATGAATGTGTACTCTGTGGAACCATGGCCATTCAAGGGCCAATCTTTCTCTTATTTCCTTATGCTGTAAGTCCAAGCCACAGAAGAATTCTGAAGAGGATAAAAAAGAATCAGAAGTGAGTTCTGGCCTTCAACAAGCTAATATATATGTCACTATCAAAATGAAAATTTGAATACTCTGCTATGAAAGAAATGCAATTAAGAAGTTACAAGACTTCAAGGTGAAAGGAATTACTTCCATTTGTGTGGAGTGGTATTTTCACAGAAAATCTGTGAAAGATGTGGAAGCTGAACCAGTTAAAGTGAGTACTGATAAATGAGTAACAAACATGATAACCTACAACCTCCTGAAAAACAAGAACTACATTCTATTCATCCTGTGTCTTTAATGCCTCACGAGAGGTCAGGAACATAAAGGCATTTGATAAATGTTTAACAAACAGAAGGAGCATGGCATTCCCACAAAAGGAAGAGGTCAATGAAATAAAAAGATGACAGAATGCAGGGCTTGTATGAGCAACAATAAAGAGTGATGATTAGTTAGTAAAAACAGATCATGAAAAGAAATGGAAGAAAGGTTCATGAAAAGGAATGGTGAGAAATAAGGTGCTGGATGCAGCAGCACACGCCTTGTAATCCCAGCACTCTGGGCGGCTGAGGCAGGAAGATCACAAGTTAGAGCCCAGTCTGGCCACTTTTGTGACTTACCAAAACCCCATCTCAAAGGTGGGAGGCGGGTGCTGGGGTATAGCTGTGGCTTGGTGTAAAGGCACTAGGTTCAGTTCCTCATTCACAAAAAAAAATAAATAAAATAAAAATGGAGGATAATAGGTTAGGGCCAAAATATGGAGTGGGAGGAATGATAGGCTAAGGGCTGAGACTGTATCACACAGGCAATAAGAGACCACTGAAAACCTTTTGTTGGAGAAGATGATGGAGGAATCTAGTAACGGCCCTTTGCTTGAATGCATGCAATCTACCACGGCTTCACCCAAACTGCTAAAAATTCTACCATTAAGATTAAAAGCATATGCTCTGTAGGCATGTCTTAATATACAAATTCTCCTGTGTGGCAATGGAAGAAGTTGCTGTCATTCATGTAAACTAGATGATTAATTTTCCTTCTCCCAGCTACAGTATACAGGTACACTGAGGCAACAGGAAATTTAGTGCAATGAAAGTATAGTGTAGCTTTTTGACTTTGAGAAGATTTTGACTTTGCAAAGATTAAAAGTGTGACACGCTTTTAACTGATAGATTAGTCCCTTAAGAGCTGTTAGTTCCTCTGTTCTTTCCAAAAGCAGAACTGAGTAAAGATGAATAGGCGACATTAATTTCCCTTACTGGAAGTATTAAAATGATGACCCAGAGGTAAGAGATAAGAAGAAAGAGGATAAACTGACCTCCCGACCTCTAAACCCCATATTGGGGACTGAACCCAGGGCCTTCCACTGAGCTACATCTCCCGACTTTTTATTGTTTGTTTTACAACAAAGTCTCATTAACTTGCCCAGTCTGGGCTCCAAACTAGTGATCTTCCTGCCTCAGCCTCTCTTAGTGCTGGGATTACAGGTGTGCAACACCATGCCCAGCTTAAACTGAACACTTCTGAGAGGAAAATAAAATGGTTTTGTATCATGTAGACACTAAAAACTACACACTCAGTTCTTTGAATTTTCCTCCAATGTGGTAAAGACTTCGTGAATCTTATCCACTCACAACTTCATGAACTGAGATTGACAATCAATAACGATTCAAGAACACGATGGAGAAAGGAAATGAAATTTTACATCACTGAAAATCCACCAAAAGGTGCTATGCTCCCAAAATAAGCAGGATGATAACCAAGTGATAATTTAGAACTTCACCCAGATTTTACAGGAACCAAGCATCTCATTTGAACACCTTTTCATTTTCTAAAACTCACATCCTGGATCTAGGCCACGAAAAGCCACTCAAATCCTGGACCTAGGCTGGCTGGGCAAAGGGACGCCAGGAAAACACCAGGTAGCTCTTCCTCGGGCGCCCACCGCGGGACCCAGGCCACTCACCGCTTGTCGATGGCGTCGATGTTTGAATGGAGAAGCCACAGCTCCTCCGTATTGTCCTGCCGGGAGGACAGGATCAGGTGGTGGCCAGTCAGGCACAGGGTCCCCTCGACGGCCGGGTAAAAAGGCCGGTGCAGCACCACATTGTCCACCCGTGGCGTCTTGATCAGCTCCGCAAACTCCATGCTGCCCCTGCGGCCGGAACCAGGGGACGGCCGGATCCCCCAGGGGCAGGGCGGTCACCCCGCGGCAAGGCTGGGGTTGGCCGGGCTTGGCCGGGCTTGGCCGGGCTTGGCCGGGCTTGGCCGAAGCGGGTCAGGCACCGGTTGGGCCGCGGGGCGGAGTCCAGGGCGAAGAGGCGGCCCTGCCCAGGCCGGAGTGGGCGCGGCGAGGCCCGCGGGGACCGCACTGGCCGCCGCGGGAGACTGGGGCTGGGTCAGGCCGCGGCGTCTCGCCGGCACTTCCCGTTCGCCCAGGCCCTGGACTCGGCCCCAGGGAACGGCCGCGACTGGCTCTGCAGCAGCAGCAGCCGCCACCAGGGCACTAGGGTTCGGGCGGGCAAGCTGAAGGGAGAAGGAGAAGGCCACTTTATGGCCAGTTCTCCATCCCGAGCCGCTAGAGGCTCCTGGCGGAAGTAGTTGTTCTCAACCGGAGTCTACCGTAACTCCGGGCGGAAGCAGCCTAGCTGAAAACTCGGAAGACTGCGAGGTCAGTACCGGAAGTTGGTCCTCTCCGAGGTTCGCCGGAAACACAAGCAGACTGGAAGATTTTGTTCCTACAGAGAAAATACTATGCTTTGCTGTCGCGCCCTCCTGCCGCACTCCTTATCAGACAACGCCTAGGAAGAGTCGATGAGAAGAGGTCCCTGTCCTGTCTCCCTCACTTGAGTAGCAGCCTCTCAAGGTGTCTTGGGGCGTGGTACTGCTGTCAACTGTGGAGATTTTCATGCATTAGCTGTGAAGTGTCGTCAAGTGTCGATGGAGGCAGTGGCTGTGACCAGGAAAAAGTCCAGGGACACAGGATCGATGCCACGGCACTGTGACCTTGAACAAGGAGCAAGAAAGCATCCAAATACCTGGGAAAGGCAGCTAAATGGTGCAGATTCGGTGCACGGAGAGGAAGGGATGCGGAAGGAATGACCCTACAAGGACTTGCCAGAGGATCCAAGATTGATCACCACGGCACAGCCTCCCCGATAGCTGCAATCCCGCTAAGCTGCCCCTGGCACCTCAGCTATGCCAGAGCTGTACTAATATAGTTTCTCCTTGTTCCTTCCTCTTCCATTCCCCTCTAAACTGACATTGTTATTCTAAAATAGGAAATAGAGGGGAAATATGTTTGAGTCCTGGCCAGCTTTTACTTAATTAGCCTTTGAAACCCTCACCATGTGGTACCTCAAAACTGACCAAAATCTCAGTGTATTGAAAGACCAAACCTCACCAGATCAACACTCTTATCCTTACTTTTTTTGTCTTTGTCCTTCTTAAACTGTTCCCCTCTTAAAGCAAAATACTAACAAGGTTGTTACCCCTGAGAGCACAGTTTACCTTATTTGTCTGCAAGAGAGAACCACCAACAGAAAAGGGATGATGAGGGAAATCATGAGTATTTTTTTGAACTGTAATTTTTATCTTTCATTTATGTGGTTCATTTACAGCAGTTACCAATTGTGGAAGGGAGGATTTATTTCCAGAATGAAGAATCGGGAAAAGTTTCTTGGAGAAAGTGTCATTTGAAAGGAGGATTTAAAAGGAGATAAGGGAGGTTTATACTCTGAGTGGAATATGGCCAAGGTAGGTGTCCAGTTTAATATATACTAGAAAAGGGCATATTCTTCAATAATTCCATTAACAACTTTTATTTTTTCTGAAGAGGGCATATACAAAGACTATGATGTCATTAATTTTAAAATGTTTAATAAAAGCCATAAGCTTTTTATTTTTTGCCCACAAGAGAAAATTGTCAGTATCTGCTGGATTGTTATAATGAAACACTAAAAAGCTATTAGATGCTTACTTATGTGAAGTGAAGCTCAAAGCATGGAAAACCCTTGAGAGCTGAAGAAAATTAAAATTAAAATTCAATGTTAAAAAATAGAATATAGTTTGAGATGGCGAGCACTTTGTGACATAAACAGTAGGTGGCGATGGAGTTCAACAATAATTGCTAGGTTTCCATTTAATCCAAAGGAGCTGTAATCAAATGTGTCCAAATTGCCTGGACAGAGGTCTCAAGGGTTGGATAGTGCTTATGATGTAAGGAACTAACTCAATGCCCTACAGCTGTTATCATTGTTATCTCCAGTCTGTGCGATAAAATGGTATTAATAGGTAATCAGAAATGTTAGTCTATCAAATCAACTAACCTTTATTGTGTCCACTTAGTCACTGTGGGGGATGGAAACAATAGATCTGACATGAATCTCCTCTCGAGGAATAACAGCTAACTTGGGAAGGCTCACACACCCCAAAGAGCTAGTGAACGAAAGAAAAGTAAGTGCTAACTTTCGAAGTACAGATTTACTCTGCAGATTTTGTGTGTCCCTGTCTTGGGTAGTTTGTAGAAAATGAGGCAGGTAGTTTGATGAGAGCAGGTTAATAATTTCCAAAAGGAACAGGATGGAGAAGGCAGTACTCGGGTGTCCCACTGATGAACAGCTGTCCTCTGTGTGCCTCGTGTTCACTGTGAGCAGCTGATAACTTCATCCCAGGTCTGTCATGTGGTCCCTTTCTCCAACATCTCCCAAGCATATCAGTCACCAAGTTGCTGATCCTACCTTCTCTTGTACCTTCAATCCCTCTCATTCTCTCCACGCCCAAGGCCAAGAGTTTAGTTCAGGCCACCACCAATTCTCACCTCCCTAACAGGAAATTTCTTATAAATGGCCAACTTTCTTCCCATAGGTCCCCCTTCCATCCACTTCTTTCTCTCCTCAGGCAGTGGGCCACATCACATGACTCATCTATGCTACTATCTCCATCTTCAGCAGTCCCTGCTTCTCACCCTCTATAATTTCTTATGCCAGACACCTGCAAACAGCTTGCAGTTTCTTCCTGAGATTTTTGCACCAGCTAGCACCTTGCTACTGAGTGAAAGTGTGGAACAAGGTCCAGGATTTTTGGCATCCTCTAGGAATTTGGTTGGAAGTCCCAAAGCTATTAATCAGATCTGCAGTTTAACAAGATGCTTGGGTGATGTGTGTGCACAGTGAAGTTTGAGAAAGCAATGTTTTAAAGAAGCTCCATGTTCTTTCTGCCTGGTAGATGCTCTTCTTTCACCCAATGACACAGTCAGAGACGACCACAGGGAGAGAAGACAGACTCCCGAACCGTAGACTGTTAATCATTAAAAGCATTTGTGTTCTCTTCTGAGGGAGCCAGGGACTTAGAAGTGTTCGTTTCTAAATAAATAATAGTGACTCTTCACTTGAGCCTCCAGATGCCCAGTAGGTAACTAAAAGCAGAACAATCTCTCCTTTGTTGTCTTAAAACTGAGTCAGACCCATGTTTAGCTCTACATATAGTATGTTATTTATGTACAAGATGTCTGTCTAAAAGCTGGCAACACAAAGTTGATTAGCCCTAAATATATATGACCTATTTCACCCACCTTCAAGACTGGGGACATCAGGATAAGAGACTTACAGGGATGTTCAACTACCAGTTAGCAGCCAGAGTCTCTAGCCATTGCCCTGAACCTGCTATCACCTTGGACTTCAGCAGAGCCTCCCCAAAACAGACCTCCCAAGCAGAAATCATCTCATGGAGAACACATTGATCCTTAAAGCAGTAAGAGCTTCTTTTTTTTTTTTTTTTTGGTTTTTCTCCGGTACCGGGAACCGAACTCACGACCTTGCTCTTGCCAGGCAGGCGCTTTGCCACTGAGCTAAATCCCCAGCCCCTAGTAAGAGCTTCTTAAAGGGCCATCTTGCAAAACCAGAACTGAGGTCATGATCCAGCAGATCCTGGACCACCCCAGCTAATCCATAATGGCATCCCATAAAGCCTGGCCTCATTCTTTTGCTAATGGGCCAGACTGATCGTCTCTGCCAGACCTGTGCCCTCTTCGGCTCCTCCAGCTGCAATCCCTTCCTTAGCTTCTCTTACTTTCTAACCCTGCCTAATAAATCTGTCTGTGCCTCATACTGTCCTGATATTATTCCACAGGGCTGGATGAGGTCTCCAGCTCTTCACGAGGGGAACTTTGTCACATCCATCCAGTGAAAACAGTACCTTTTTCCTTGACCTATTGATATCCATCCCCCTTCAGTTTTCATCTCAGATGTCACTGCCTCTGAGAAGCCTTTCTGATTCTCCCTGTGACTATGGGTACCACATTATAGAGGCTCACAGCACCACATAATAGCCCATCGCCTTGAATGTTCCTGTGCTCCAGTTGTTATGCTGAATGTCTGTATGTATTGTCTCCTGCATTCCTCCTCACACTGCTCTGAGGCTGATGGTAAAGTCTGAATTGTTTCCCCTCATTCACGTGTTGGAATCCTAACCCCTAGGAACTGCAATTGGAGATAGCATCTTTAAAGATGTCATTAAATTCAAGGATGTCACTAGAATGGACCTGAATCCAGAATAACCAGTGTCCTTGTAAGAAGAGGAGATTAGGGCACAGACAGGCACAGAGAGAAGACCATGCAGAGCCACAGGGAGAAAGCAACCATCCACAAGCCCAGGAGAGAGGCCAATGGAGAAACCAACTCAGTGACACCTGATCTTGGACTTCCAGTCTCTAAAATTGCGAAAAAATAAATTTCTGTGTTTCACCTGTCCTGTCCGCGATATTCTGTTATTGCAGCACTGGAAAACTACAGTAATACAGCTGGCTGTGATTCTTTTCCCAGTGAGGAAACTGGGGAGCAGAGAGCTTTGTAACTTTGCCAAGGTCAGATGGCAGGAAGTAGTTCAGCCCGAGACCCAAAGAGCCGAGTGCAGACTCAATGATCTTCACTTCTAAGGTCCACTGCCACCCTATGCAGCCCGAGTCCACTTTGGTTACTTTCTGATTTTGCCACTTAATAAACAGCATTGAGAGAATCTGTGTCCATAGCCTCCCACTAGTAAGCTCTGTGAGGGCAAGGACCATATCTTCACTGTGGGATGTACAACGCTTATCTTAGTTCCTATATTTCTTGAATAGATGCCCTGTACATATTAACTTTCCATGTTGCATCTTGGCTTCCCCAACCTTGATCTGAGTGATGTTAAATATGATTGCAGACGTGTATGGTGATATTTTGATGAGAGTAGAGAGGGTAGTGATCATATCATTCCCACTTACAGGTGTCAAGTTAAAGCCAATAAGTAACTTTTCAGGAAGAATGCTACTGCTAAGCTCTTACATTTGGTCAGTGGACTGTGGCTTGTCAATGTTTTGAAATATGCTCTCATGTAGGACCCTCTCTGGAACCTGGAGAAGCAGAGAGCAGAGGTGCTACTCCAGCTCCAAGAGGCTCAGAGCTGTCCTTGCAAGGCCAGTACCCAGCAGTGGGATGACACCCTCGTGATACGTGAGTCCAAGGCCCAGGCCCCTGCTGTCCCACTAATTTAAATCAGATGCATTGTGCACACCTTTTTTCTGTTAAGATCCTGAACTGTTGCTGATGGCAAAAGGCAGCCTTTCTT